GGATGGATGGATGGATGGATGGATGGATGGATGGATGGATGGATGGATGGATGGATGGATGGATGGATGGATGGATAGACTTGCGTACTAAGAGAGCCATAACTATATACGATAACATCTTTTTTTGTACAGTTAATGTGAACATTTCCTTGGTATTTGTAAATGCCTAACAGACACGGAAAAGGGATAGCTTAGCTTAGCACGACTGTTTGTAGCAAATATAAATTGCTAGCCTGACTTTCTCGAAAGTAAAAAGGAACATATCGCCTGATGAACAAAAATTAAAATTCTTAAAATCTATCATCATCCTTGTTCTTCCAATTGGAACCATTACCTAAATCATTAAATAAAACCTTAAAGACATAGGTTTGCTAACACTACAGACACTATTAGCATTCTTCTTAGCTAGTATCGGATTGAATGGATGCATTCAAAGAAAATTATACTAGCTATTTGAATAATTAAATTCTACAATAGCATGCCATTAAAGATGTCAGTTATTGGACAAATTTATCCTTTAGCTTCTTCTCGAAGTTCTTCCATCTGTTGCCAATGGTCTATGCAACTTTTCTAAAAGAAGGTTGTCAAACTGTGCTGAACAATCCTGATTTTTAATATGATCTGATTTAATTATGCAATTTGACATCCATATTTATTGGCATGAATGAACTCTGAGTAGCAATGATATATATATATATATATTTCATTATTTATTTTTATTTGACCACCTTTGGATTTCTTTCCAATTTAACAAAAAAGGGGATAGACACAAAACACAAAAAAAAATTAAAAACAAAAATCTTTTTACTGAGCTTAAGGGTTTGAAAAGTTTTTGTTGCATAAAGAAAGCAGATTTGTAGTATTGTTCAAATGTCCACCAGGCACCATCTGACAGACATGGAGAAATTTTAATAGCATTTGGTGGGAAAGTCTGGTGGCACCATTTGCTGCTCCACTACCTCTCTACTCTGCTCTGTTTTCTAATTCGTCGTAGATTTATTAGAAGAACCGTTTATTTGCATTTCCCCCTGGGGCCATTTGTGGACAAGAGTAATTTGTCATGATAATCAGTCTATAATCAGATGATAAAAGAAACACATTCACCACAGATTGCGGCACCATTTGAACATTTGAAGTACATTTTTAGCAGGCCGTGAAACAGGGTTCACAGCCTGATTTCTATGCTTTATTTACTGTAACCTCTTTCTTTCTGACATCAAGAATTACAGCATTCTGTAATCCTTGTACCAGGACTTTGATGTCTAATGGCACAAGATCATTGCTCACTGTGTGATTGATTGGAAGTTTAAGCTTTGCATTAATTGATACAGGTGAAATTTAAAAACTGGAGCTCAGTTTTGCTTCCTCGAAATCCTGGCCTCAAATTTGAATAATACAAAGTAATTTAAAAAACATAGCTGTTTTTAATAGAGTTTTTCTTGTGTTTGATTATGGAAGTTGGTGGGGGGAAAAAACTCACAAAAAAACCCACTTTCTTTTATCTGTCGAGCAAGAAAAAAGTATTTTTTGTATTTTCATTTTGGGAATTGTGTATTTTTTCCCCTGCCTTGGATGTGTTGAGCTGCAGCTTGAGTGCAGATGGGTGACAAAGAGGCATTATACAAAGCTGCATAAATAGACAACAAAGCAGAATTTCTATTGTAAGAGGTGTTGCAAATGTTCTGCGGTGCTGTGTAATCCTGTCCTCAGTCGCTCCTCTGCAGATTCATTGCGTGACCTTTGAAGTTGCTTCATTAAAGCGTGTCCCGTTGTTTCTGTGTGTGCCTGTGTCTCTGACAGAGTGAGACAGATCTTCAGCATCCCCGGAGAGTTACATGCGCAGTGACAAGATGACTCTGGCAGGTAAACGCAGACGCAGCAGAAAGTCATTCACCTTACAGTATCCCTTCTTACAGTCTATACGGCACCAATAACATCAGCCATGTTATCATAATGGCAGTTAATTTACCATAATTAGAGTGACTAATCACTATTGCTGGGAAAGAGTTGCATCATCTCTATGTGAATGCTTGTTCACGACTCAGTTAGTCAACAAGGCTTTGTTTGTGTGTGTGTGTGTGTGTGTGTGTGTGTGTGTGTGTGTGTGTGTGTCTGTATGTTTCTGTGTCCTCAGCCTACAAAGAGAAGGTCAAAGAGCTCCCCCTGGTGTCTTTGTTCTGTTCCTGCCTGAACCCACAAACTGCAGAAAAAACTACTTACAAGGCAGAAGGTAATAGTTAACCCCACAAACATTTATGATTACAGTTTCATAGCATTTTCATTCAGTTGACATTTGACGATTGAAGAGTTTGATAAAATATATACTGAGGTAGTGGATAAACGATAAACCACACAATGCATCCAGAAAGCATTACAATGGTGATGTGACTACACCTAGATGCAGTGGATCTGGGCTGGTGTGTCATCAAAGATGTTGAAGTGATTGAGCTGAACAAGAGGACATCGGGCCAAGCCTTCGAGGTCATCCTCAAGCCCCCGTCCTTTGACGGTGTGCCAGAACTCAACACCTCCATGCCGCAGCGTCGCGATCCATCTCTGGAGGAGATCCAAAAGAAGCTGGAGGCTGCTGAGGAGAGACGAAAGGTGAGGGGAGAGACACAGTGCACAATCACGCCTAGCATCATAACTGCCAGAGTTTTAACAGGGCAAAACTTAACTCTTGATCGTAACGTTGTCTATTTGTCACTCAATCAAGTGTTGTTGAACATCTGTCAACACACTTTTCGGGCTTGGTCATTTATCAGCCCAAGGGGGGGGGGGTAAAGGATGGAGGCAAATGAAAGGAGAGTGGCGTGGAGTAATGGAGTAAATGGACAGGAAGTGATAGAACATTTACAAGGAAAGGAGAAGCAAGAAATTAAGAGACAAACACAAAGTAAGTGTAGTGGTACAAAGACAAACGTCCAAAGACACAAATTGGCTCTGTCGTCAATAGTTATGGAGGAAAAAGCATAAAGGAGAAATAATCTACACTTTACATAGATTGTGTTTTTATGGAATTACACATACAAAAAAGTGAGTCATTATTGGATAAGTTGGATAAATAGTGAATTAATATTTTCCAAGGTCTGCTAACAGACCTGTATCTGTTTTGATTTTAAAAGAGTGGCATATTTTCTGTGTTGTGAATTGATATAGTGCTGGGATAATAGTTCTCTTTGTTGACCACAGGGATCAAATACATTGAACGTCAGAATCATTAACCAAAAACATTACACCAAGGGATGAATAAAATTGTAATAAATTTCCTCATCAATTGTTAAAATTCGTTATCCACCCCTACCAGTGCCAGGAAGCCGAGCTGTTGAAGCACTTGGCAGAAAAGAGGGAGCACGAGCGTGAGGTCATCCAGAAGGCCTTCGAGGAGAACAACAATTTCATCAAAAACGCTAAGGAGAAGCTGGAGCAGAAGATGGAGGCCAACAAGGAGAACAGGGAGGCCCTTCTTGCTGCCATGCTGGAGAGACTGCAGGAGAAGGTATGACCTACTCGATTGACATTTTTTAAAATTTTTAGATCACCTTACTAACAGCTCTCGAAATTATTGTGCAGGTTTCTAGAACTTTTACTCAAATCCACCACAAATCTTCTTTTGCGCAAAATAAACCAATGACTGTTTGTTTGATTACGGATTCAGATTTTACCCACGTGCATTTCATTTTTTAGAGCAAATGGTCCAGTTTAAATTCTGAATACGTGAACATTTACTTCCAGACTCTAATGGAAACAGTTACACTTCTGTGTCACTTCAATTTTTATGGGGCTTTTACTTACTGTGTGCTTTGTGTAAGACATCCTCTGGTCTTCATAAAGGGCCTTCATTAAGGGCTCTTCAAATCTACATTCACTACTTAGCATTCCTCTATTTAACACAAGTGTAAAATCATTTTTACCCCAAAACAGCTTTCCTTCTTGATAACAAGTAAAAGAACAGTTAAATTACCATTCATATATTTTTGTTTCTGGTCAGATAAAGTACTCCTAATAAAATTAATACTTTGAAGCGAGCCAAATGAGATGCTATCCTCCTTTACTCCTGTTTAAGGGAATCTACATTTTAACCAGGATTTAAAATCATAATCTAGCCTTGCATTATTTTTACATTCTTTACAAGCTTGATCAATTATCATGAATATTGCATGAACTGAAAAGGGAACTTTCAGTTCTCTTCAGGTGCTTTATTTTGCTGAGTTAATGTGTGCTTGTGTGTGTGTCTTTGTCTCTCTGTTCCTGTCTGTGGGGCAGGACAAACATGCAGAAGAAGTGAGGAAGAACAAGGAGTTGAAAGAAGAGGCCTGCCGGTAGATAAGTGGAATAAGGGAGATAAAAACACGAAAAAGAGCAAGACTGCGAGGGCTTTTTTTTTTAGTCCATTAAGAAAAAGATAAGAGTAAAAAAGAACTCAACCACCACAAGCAACTTGACTGACTTGAAGAATTGTCTGGTTTCATATGTGATGCGTGCTACATGAATTTTGAACAAGCTGTACAAGGTTTAGCCAAAGTTTTAATTATACTTTTTTGGGGGGGATGGTGGTTGGGGTGGGGTCAACACAAGCATTTCAAATGTTGGACAACAACGATTGTTTGGTGCAAGATTATGTAGGGAAATTCATTGGAACTCTCTGTTTCTCCATGTCCCGGTCAGTACACAGGAAATTACAGTTCACTGAGAAAATCATTGCATTTTTGAATGATTTTTTAAAGATTATCGTTCAATTTTTTTGGCGCAGAAACAGGTCATATTTGCGAGCAATTTGGCAGCAAAGCGGCCCAAACACACGGGCAGACTTTGTTTATAGAATGGAACAGAGAGTTGTAAGCTAAAAAGTTACCAAAACATGAAAAAAATGCAGTGATGTGCTTTAAAAAGGATGCTTAGAAGCCGTGTTCAACCATAACCAACACAGTTAAAAATAAATAAATAAAAGGTTTCTTCAGATATCAGTTCCGTGATTCTTACACACCATCCAATACACATAAATAGAATGTAACAAATAAGCTTTTGCGGATTCAGAAATAAAAATGATTTCTCTAAGTTCACTGTTTTCATGTTAATTCTTCACAGCACGGTTTTTGAGAGCTTTCAGTATGTCTTGGGATGTCTGTTTATTGTACGCTCAGTGAGTTTCACTAAATAATTCATGCAGTTAACACGACAAATCAGTGTTGTTTTTTTGTTGTTATTTCTACGGTGCTCGTAGAGAAGAAGGTTCTGCTGCATTCTACTATTTTCAGACAGACTATGAAACATTAGGTAGATAGTGTAACAGTAGTAGCTGATTTGAGTACCTTAGTTTTGGAGCACCAATTGCACTCTTATTTCAGGAAGCACAACTAGAAAGCACATATGCATACAGGAGGGACATCAAGAATATACTGTAAAAAACAATATGACATCAGGATGAGGCAAAGGCATGAGGAACAGATGGGAGCTTCAAAAAACTGCCATGGCATGTCTCAGTGTGCTCTGATTGTTAGTTTTTGTTTATAAAAAAAAGGTATCAATACCTAAATGATTAAGCAGAAAAATGTGATTATGCCAGAGGGCTGACTTCATACCGAATGGACTGACATGTGTTACTGTTTGCACTGTAACAGGGGAGTTGTAACATGGGGGGGTTGTATCTGCTGTAGCAGTGTATTGCTGTATGTCTTCAAGGTTGGACTGGTTGTATTAATTTGGCATGTTCAGTAAAAAATCTCAAATTAACTCACACTTTGGTTTCAGCTCATTGATCTGATTTTTGGTTCTGCACACGTCAGTTGTATTTAAACTCACATACCAAAACTTGTAAGACTTTTAATGCAATAATTACAGAAAGATAATACAAATCAGCAGAGTGTACTGTAAATAAGTCTAAACTAACAATCGTCTAAACTAACAATCTGCTCAAGTACACTTGCATAAGATGCAGAAATTACTCTTTGTTCTTTGTCTTTTTTGTAAAACACAATTATTGCAAAGTTTTAATTTTAGTTACTTAAAAAGGATCAAATGAAAATGCAGCAACGCACACATACATACAAAAAACTGTCACATCTTTTACAACCATATATTTTTTCAACAGCCTCTATTATGGTTAAAAGCTACAGGAATCAACTTTTTCACCACTAGGGGGGAGAGACTTACAGATGGCACATTTGAGATAAGCAACAACAAAAAAAAACCTCATAGTTCATTTATTTTTTTAGACGGATAGTGGAGAAGAATATTTTCCAGTGAACAGCCTATTTTAAATACAATAGTTGCAGGTTTAAAAAAGAAGAAATTCATCCGTTGTTTTGAAATCTTGCTCGGAACTTGGGGACTTAAAAAAGGTTATCATAGCTTGTGAACCAAAACTCTAACACATTCAAATTAATTAGAAGAGTATTGGAAGTCTTTGTTACTGCATGGGGAGAGTGATAGGCTTCACACAGGTGCAGCCAACCGTGATCACCTGGGTCCCCAGAATGAAGTCATACCTTTTTTTCCTCTTCCCTCCTTTCTTGGTTTGAATTTGTCTTGGGATTCTGCAGTGAGATAAGATAATTGGTGTGAGCTGAGTGCACTGCAACATGGACCCTATCAGTTTGAAAACAGCATAATCGTGCAAGGAGAGACCGTGGACTAAAATTAAAATAACAATTCAATCATTCTCTGATTCTAATTAGCTGTGTTTCATTTGGAGGAGGTTATTTCAGTAAATGTAGCAGTTCGTATGTTGATCTCATCTTGTTCTTTTTTCTTGTTCAAAGCTTTGAAGTTGAGGCCAATAAGGGTTCATTTGCACTGTGCAATAAACATAAAGATGAGTAAGTTTTGGCTTTTCTCAATCCCACTGCTGAGGAAACACATAAACTTTTTTTTTTAGTAAAGTGCCACTTCTGTGCAAGATTTAATATAAACAAATTCCATTCAAATTCCGTTCCTTTGAGCCAGAGTGACATGTGACCAGTTTCAGAGACAAAGAAACCCCAAAAATGCTGCATCTCACACATGGAAACAGCCCTCAACTGAGAAACTAAGAGAGCCAAAGGGAACTATGTTCACCCTTAAAATGCTTTTTCTGTGCTCTATCCTGTTTATTGAAATTAGTTTTCTGGCGTCCCCCTACATCAGGATATGTATCAAATTACGAGGGAAAATGCTTTCCAAATTGCTTTTCCCTGACTTCCTTAGGATGTTTTTTCTTGAAAATACAACATTCTTGTTGTGTCAGCAAAGCCAAAAGGCAGAGAAAAGAGAAGCACACTTGTTAGGCCCTGCAGACGCTCACTTGTGAAGGACTAGGATCTCATATTGGATGGGTTTGACCTCCAGAGTTAAATCCTCCCCTCCTCGCTCAGGGCTCAGACAGCCAGAAGTCAGACAGTGCGCCTCTGAGATAATCCGGGGCAAACGCGATGAAACACAGGTTTCTCTAAAGAGAAACGAAAAGAAAACACAGTACATTAGTAATTCAATAATTTGAAGTCTCAACTTTTACACCTTTTTCGCACTTTTTATTCATGATTCTGAAGTTCACCTTCTTAGATTACTTAAATGGAAGCGAGGCACAAAAAGTTTAGATTGTTTGGATTTTGAATGAACATTGAACAGGCACATGACAACATCCATTCATTATCATTACCGTTTATTCCCTATTGGGGTCGCGGGGAAAACTGGAGCATATCCCAGTGGTCAATGGGCTAGAGGTGGGGTACAACCAGGACAGTCCAGCATTCCATCGCAGGGCCAATAACAACATCCAACAATACATAAATATGTTGGCGATATAAGTTGAGCAATGTGCTTAAGCCTAACTTTTGCTTACAGTGGCTGGGGAAAAAAGCAGTAGATGTGCACAACTGCCACAATCATGCCAAAGAAGCTGAGATTCCATTCTAATTTAGTCACTGTGTCAGAGCAATGGCAAAAATATGATAGTCCAGCCTGAGGTTGGCAATAATAAGATGTGGTTAGTTCATGAGCTGTGAAGTTCTGATTCATTTAAAGGCCCCAGTTGGGTTTCTTGGCAAATGCCAAGCATTAGAAAGCAATGGTAAAAGTTTGGCGATCCTCTTTTACTGTACATCTTACTTCAGCTGTGACAGAAAAATGGGGAAAAGTTATCAAAAATACTTATATGTATCACCAGAAAAAACAACATAAGCATTAGAGCCTACATATTGCTGATAATTCTAACATTTGATTAAACTGAACCACCTGAAACATAATTTCAGCAATAAAAAAAGAGATTATCATTGCTTGCAACAAAGATCTGTGTGTTGTAAAATATATGTTATTATAAATGTTTGCATTTATGTTCCAGTATTCCATATTCATGCCGCCGTGTAAATGCTCAATCTATATTTCAAATAACTTTTGTCATAACGAGCAGTTTTCTGATGGAGCTATACAAATGCCGAAAGTTTTATTTGCATCCAATCCTTAGAGTAGCCATATTTCTTTGCTCGGGCTATTGTTGTGCTGGGATTACCACAAAAACTAACCTGGATTCAGGAAATTTTACTTACCTTAAATCTGGACTAAAGAAAATAAATAAATACAACAAATAGTCTGGTAAGATGTGGACGTCAATCCAAATCCCAGCCTTTAATTGTTACAAAATCTAATTAAATGCCGGCAATCCCAGTATTTAATTGTTAGTTAAATGGCTCCGTTTTGTTGACCCGGTGACTCCTTACCTGTAAATCCACGGCGACAGAGATGCGTTTGAAATATGTGAGGCAAATCTGCTGGAGGGAGGAATCAGCACAGAAGAATCCAGGACCACTCTCACAGTTTTTCCCCGTGATCCGTTTCCCTGCTTCAGCTTCACTGATATGTGCCTGGAGGCACACGCCAGCGAGGCAAAACCCAGCAGCAGAAAAGCTCTGAGGACCTGAAGAAGAAAGCAGGTAAGAGGCTTTCTGAAAGTAACATGAAAAATGTCCCCCCATTTTGCAGCAAAAGACCGCAAACTATGAAACGTTTAGTCATGTAACCCTTAAAGGTCAGGCTGTCTAATGGTCACCAATAAGAAATAAGGAGAAAAAGAGCAGCCTCACCAGCAGCATGGCGGTGTTGTCTCAGTCTTGGTGCCCAGTTTCAACTGTCAGCCCCTCTTCTGTTGTCTTGCTGTAATTATTCACTGGCAGTTTTTTTTTTTTTTTTGCAGCCAGACTGTGTTGGTGTGTTGCTAAAATGTGTGGTGCATTTCCGTTACGTCTGTTAGTGATTTGGAAGTAGCACATCTTGATCTTAAGCCTAGATAAAGTTCACATTCAGTGTGAAGGCAGTTCTTCACCTATACATCTCTTAGATATGGGAACAATAGTGAAACTTGTCTTATATTCATGGGGACCACAGACGTTATGCAGACAGACAAATAAATCTGATAATCTGACTCAAATCCCAGCTGGAAATAGACCTGCAAATGCGTTCCCATGTGGAAAATAAATATTAAAAACTTATTTTAACATATAACTTTAGTTTATTTTTATTGTATTATGCATCATTAAAGATTTTAAGAATATATTGTTTACTCCTGAAGGTGGCCACTTTTACATTACTGTAATATATTGTAGTAAATACTGGTTTCACTATTGTATGCTTGACAAAAGATGGGTTATTTGAAAGAACACATTCTGGTAGATGATCATCATCTCACTCAACTTTTAAATGTTTTACCCCAGTCATTTAGAATATAACATTTGGAAAGACACCTACGCACTGCAAACACTGTAAACAATGTAGGTCAGAGAAATGCTGACAGGGCTTCTGGTAATATATCAGCATAACTCTTAAATGCGATAGCATCTTGTCATCTCAAACATAATATGAGTCAAAGGCAGGAACAGACAAAGTAGGGCACAGCTGTTCAGGACCAAAGAGTTACCCAGCCAAATGTGAAATGTAAAGGTAGTTTTGTGTTACTTGGCTTTAATCAAACTGCACTAAACAATTTCAAATCCCAAACTGGTGTATATATTTATAAATCTATACATATACTTATACTTGTACACATACTTGTACACATATCCTTGCTTATACATTTCAAAATATTTAAACATATATAAATATATATAAAATTTAGACATGGTAGGTGTTTTTTTGCTTGTATTTTTAAGACAGATATCTTGAAATGTGGGTTCTAATAACCGTATCTGCCAGCTGCAGTCTATTAAGCCTCCAGAAGTTACATCGCTTTTTACACTCATTGCTAATTTTGCGTGTGTTTTAACTTATGTCCTGTATATGAAGGTATGGTTCAATACATTTTAAGAGAGACCCTAAAGTAATACAATATAATGCTCAAAGAAAATTAAACGCATACTGCAGGCCTCGGCTGGTAAGTAAAATTAGTAGGTTAATGACAGGGGATTTCATCACCAAAGTGGTTCCAATAGTGGTTTGGTGCCTGGATAGCTTCGACAGTATAAATCCTGTGCTACACCAGCAACTGTTTGACAAGTCTGAGCAAACTACTTGTCTATGTGGATCCATATCTAGGGTTTTGTTTTGATCTGGTTAATCCAGGAGAGAAAAACTAATGTTTCAAGTTCAGTGATCCTCTCAGAAATCCTCACCATTAACAAGCATTGTTCTTTTAACATTTTTGTTTGACAAACATACAAAAACAAGTGACCTGCTTCCCTGTCCCTATTTTTCTGTCCTCCGCAGAGTACAAGCATACCCGAAATTCAGGGTCAAACTTGCATTTGTAAAAAGTAAAGAAGTAATATAATTGTAGTCTCTGAAACTGCTTTGGTCAAAAACCTTTTGTCTCTAATAGCAACACGCCATCGCTGCTCAAGTTTTTAGCAATTGCACCTGAAAAAACTCAAGACTTTGGGAACATTTTGCATAGAATAACAATGCACAAGATCATGCTTAGTGCAAATCAATGCTCATAATAACAAAAACTCTGTGGATGTAAAGTGATGGAGGGCTGATGTTTTGGACTTTTTTTCTTTTGGAATAGGACCTGCACATCTTAAAATAAGTGAAGAGATATATAAATTCCTAAAATATGAGGCCACGTGTACAAAAGCAAAACTTTTCTGCTTGGTTAAAAATTCATGAAAAGACAGTGTATAAAGGTGGATCTACAACTACTACTAATAATGTGGTCGTAGCAAAATATAACTTAAGCTTTAACTTAGGCTTAAGCTAAAGACCTGATAAAGACAAGATTATTTCTAAAAATATGTATGACATCTACAAAATGGATCATAAGTGGATCACAACTTGTGGCATAATCATATGTCAAAAGGTCCATTTTACAGAAAAGTCTGGTTGGTTTTCTGCACAGAGATCCTTTGAGGGGGTGATTTAAGTTTTTTTGTTTTGTAATGTTCCCTCAGATATTTAACAAACACCATCTCTACGTTCCAACTAATTCACAGTGGAATTATCCAGCAATCAAGTTTGTTGTTCTCTCAATGCTTTATGGTCAGTTACAAAATGGATCATAAGTGGATCACAATTTATGGCATAATCATATGTCAAAGGTCCATTTTACAGAAAAGCCTGGTCAGTTTTCTGCACAGAGATCCTTTGAGGGGGTGATTTAAGTTTTTTTGTTTTGTAATGTTTCCTCAGATATTTAACAAACACCATCTCTCCGTTCCAACTAATACACAGTGGAATTATCCAGCAATCAAGTTTGTTGTTCTCTCAATGCTTTATGGTCAATTACATAAGACGTAGAACTAATGCTGAATTTCAATATCAGTAACAGATTGTCATTATAGGCAGAGTCTAATGAATACATTCACACAGTTTGGGAATTTCCACATGTCTGAGGTTTCAAAGAACAGTCAGTAAAAAAGGAAACGATGACTTTCTAGATGTTTCTTTAAACAGGCTAAGTCAATAGGTCAATAAGACCTCTGTAACCCACAAGTTTAAGATAATCAAACAAGTATCACACTTTGAGTGACTGAAGTCAAATATGTAGTCTGATGAGATAAAAAAATGGGTATTGGTGAGACATTTTATCAAATTCGTTGATAATTTAGAGTGAGGGATGGCTGTGATAGTTTGAGCTCTTTATCCCACTGTTATATCAACAGGAAAAAAAAAATTCCGACTTTAATTTTAGATGGTATCAAAGAAAGCAGAATAAGTAAGAGAAATAAAATATGCGGAAAATACTTTTTACTAAGCCTAATCTAAAATCTGTTTTATTCAGTATTTTTCACAATATACTACAAAACTACAATAAACTAATTTACTCGCATAAACTAATTTACTAATTTATACATGCTTTTGATTTATAAAACTCCTATAAACTAATTTACTCGCATAAAATAATTTACTAATTTATACATGCTTTTGATTTATAGTTGGGGAAACATAAAATGCTAATGTGGTATGTGATATCCCAAAAGGAATTAAAAAACTATTCTGTTTGAGCTTTTTTCAAGGTAAACCTTGATATTATAAACTTGTGAGAAAATAGCAGCTTTATTAAAACGTCAAGTAAATAACTTAACACACATAGCAACACTGGCACCAAGTCCCAGTTCTGAAATCATTAATTACACATTTCAGCTTTTCTGAAGGTAAGTACATCATTCCCAAATGAAAATGTGCATCTATGGAAGAGGTAATTGTTACCCATGCTTGGTAGATTGTTTTTTGATTTTTAGAGCACTGTCATTACAAAAAAAAAGATATAAATTCAACATTTGTGGGTTATAGTTATGAAGTTTCACCACTATACGTGCCAAAAATATGATATATACTTTCTCCAATCAACTTATATGAAAGCTGAATAAGATGGCACACTCACCAAATACTTAGCTTAACCAAAAAACTCTGTCTAGATTAAAAAAAACAAAAACACAATTTGTCTTTACAGTCTGATATTGAATAGATACACTATATTGCCAAAAGTATTTGCTCACCTGCCTTGACTCACATATGAGCTTAAGTGACATCCCGTTCCTAATCCATAGGGTTCAATATGACGTCGGTCCACCCTTTGCAGCTAGAACAGCTTCAACTCTTCTGGGAAGGCTGTCCACAAGGTTTAGGAGTGTGTTTATGGGAATTTTTGACCATTCTTCCAGAAGCGCATTTGTGAGGTCGCACACTGATGTTGGACGAGAAGGCCTGGCTCTCAGTCTCCGCTCTAATTCATCCCAAAGGTGTTCTATCGGGTTGAGGTCAGGACTCTGTGCAGGCCAGTCAAGTTCATCCACACCAGACTCTGTCATCCATGTCTTTATGGACCTTGCTTTGTGCACTGGTGCACAGTCATGTTGGAAGAGGAAGGGGCCAGCTCCAAACTGTTCCCACAAAGTTGGGAGCATGGAATTGTCCAAAATGTCTTGGTATGCTGAAGCATTCAGAGTTCCTTTCACTGGAACTAAGGGGCTAAGCCCAGCTCCTGAAAAACAACCCCACACCATAATCCCCCCTCCACCAAACTTTACACTTGGCACAATGCAGTCAGACAAGTACCGTTCTCCTGGCAACCGCCAAACCCAGACCCGTCCATCAGATTGCCAGATGGAGAAGCGCGATTCGTCACTCCAGAGAACGCGTCTCCACTGCTCTAGAGTCCAGTGGCGGCGTGCTTTACACCACCGCATCCGACGCTTTGCATTGCACTTGGTGATGTATGGCTTGGATGCAGCTGCTCGACCATGGAAACCCATTCCATGAAGCTCTCTGCGCACTGTTCTTGAGCTAATCTGAAGGCCACATGAAGTTTGGAGGTCTGTAGTGATTGACTCTGCAGAAAGTTGGCGACCTCTTCGCACTATGCGCGTCAGCATCCGCTGACCCCGCTCCGTCAGTTTACGTGGCCTACCACTTCGTGGCTGAGTTGCTGTCGTTCCCAAACACTTCCATTTTCTTATAATACAGCTGACAGTTGACTGTGGAATATTTAGGAGCGAGGAAATTTCACGACTGGATTTGTTGCACAGGTGGCATCCTATCACAGTTCCACGCTGGAATTCACTGAGCTCCTGAGAGCGACCCATTCTTTCACAAATGTTTGTAAAAACAGTCTGCATGCCTAGGTGCTTGAATTTATACACCTGTGGCCATGGAAGTGATTGGAACACCTGATTCCGATAATTTGGATGGGTGAGCAAATACTTTTGGCAATATAGTGTATATTACCTAAGATTAAGTAAATTCGAAAATGTTGATTGGGAATTTATTTTGTTTCACCCAGGTCTGTTTTTATTCCAAGATAACCACTATCCTTACAAGTAATGAGATTAAGTTTACACTAAAGAAAATGTTGTATGCGTAGACCAAAACTATAAAAATGCTAGATAGGATGGAAACATAATGTTAATCCTTTATCCTTTTTCTCAAGAGTGATATGAATCAGGTGTGGGTGTTGACTTGACACCTCAAATCGCAGCAGACGTGGTGTAAGGTGAAAGCCGTGATCACTTATCACTGGTGGTTTTTGCATATCTGGAGCAAATCTCTATCTTATCTTCAGTATGATCAGAGTTAGTTATGGAACTTAAAGTCCAACTCTTTATGTACAATACATGTGTAAAGCATATATTCATAAAGCTTTTTCTCAATTAACATAAATGAATTCAAGCTTAACAGTGATTTCGTAACCAGTGTGAAGGCACAGGAATTGCATCTGCCATTGCCTCCTGCAGTGCATTAGGTCTGAACAATGGAGGGTTAACCACTTCTGGTAAATAAAAAAAAGTTAGAGTAGAAGCAGGAAGACCATTAACCATAGCACCATACTTTCTGAGAAATCAGAAACTTCCCCAGTGTCACAAATTTAACGGTCACAGAAATAGTCAAGATTGTCCAGTTTATGTGCACTCTGTATTCTAGATGTTCTGTATCCATTTATGACTCAATAGCTTTAGGTTTAAAAACATGAGTTATTTTCTTTTTAAATGAATGTACTTAATGTGTTCATTTCACACCGGTTAACTTTTCATTTGGATTCAAGACCTTTGTTCCAGTTAACTTTGATGAAACTTAAGGTGGCTAATAAAGGATTGTTACATAGCAAATCTGTAACACACGCGACAGGTTGGGGTCAGACAAGAAAACAGAGCAAGTGAGAGAATAGTTTCGTTACAATTCCCACTCATTAGTTAAAAAATCTTGTTAGGCAACTTGGCAGAGGACATACAATTTGGGCTTCTGCTGTGTGTATGGCTTGATAACTACCTCTTAATATATTACAAACACAAAAAGCTACGACACAAATGTGGCATTACAAACCAAAATCTCCTGAAATGACAGAGCAAAAAATCTCTTAAAATAATTAAACTTTTAAAAAGATGTTTTTAAATGTTACCAATTCATCTGTACACATGAGGCAAATTTAAATAATTTCTGCTTTTTAGATTCAAATTAAACTTTTAGCCTATAATTTATTACATCAAAGCATAAATTCAAGAACCCAACTCGCTCTTTAGTTACATTCAACCACATTTATTTTAACAAACAGCCACATTTTAATTCCAAACTTTACTATATACAAGTCTGATAAGAGAAAATGGAGTAACTTTACAGCACTGTGTCCATACAATGGTGTGACAGCAACTCTCTCTATTGCTTAATGAATACTTTTCAACTACAATAAACTACTCGCATCTTAAAGATAATGACATTATAGTACGTTTTGCTACGATAAACGAGTTAATATACCTCTGAAGGCCACAATAAAACAGCATTACCAAAGATGGCGATAGGCAAGTTACATTTGAGTTGACAAAACAGCCTGGAAACACAAGAATGTGTCAATTGAGTAAAAAGGTTTGAATATGTGGTGAAAAGTATACTTTCAATTTCTTTTCCTTTCACTCCCGCAAAATCTTTGTGACTGATTTAGTGACAGTCAAACCCATCAGTCTTCCTCAGATGAGGAAAATAATGTCATCCGCCACCATGACCTGGTTATCGTCCTGCATCCGGGCCAAAGCAGTGCGGACTTCAGGCTCCGTAAAGCAACTTTCTCGGCCCTTGTTGATGTCATCCATCAGCATTGTCATCTTCACCGACTGGGCATGAGCAGACTGGAATACCGCAAACAGCGAGGACTTGAACTCCTTTAGTCTGGTTGAGGAAACAAGAGGAGAGGAGACGTGAAAACACTGTACAGCACGCCCACTTTCCAGTTGATTGTATGCACAAAATGCCGTTATTGGTTCGTCGGGCAATACCTTTGAACACCATTAGAAAAAGAAAACAAGGGGGTTTTTGCATTTTGAATTGAAGCGGATGCATCTACTTCAGGCTTTAAAAATAAGTCACCCACCTCTCCGCTGACAGCTCAGCTGCTTCAACCCGTGAAGTGGCGTCCATTGGCTCGTCCGCTTGCTGAGCCTTAGCTGGTTTTGGGGTGCCAGCCTGAACTACAAATAGGACAGACAACATGTATATTCAGTTTTGAGACATACTGTACAAAGTAATTCCAAGAAAGACTAAATACACATGCAAGGCTCTCTATTCTTTCCCCCATTGCTTTAAATTGAGTCCAGAAAAACACATTTTTTTTGCTGCAATTCAATTAAAAAAAGGTTTCTCATGAAGGATGATGCAATAGATTTACCAACAAAAAAAGTTCATCCTACACACAAATGATAATCCATGTACTTCACCATTGAATCCAATAATGTGGAATGATCTAATTTTATCAACAAGGCCAATGGGTACTACATATCACTATATATATTTAAAATTAAACTACCACAGTTGAAGTAAACAAATCAAACGGGCTAACAGTTTTGCATAAGTGAGGTTTCAGCCATATTATGGCTACATAAGTGAGTTAAGTTAAGTGAGTTTTTCATTATTAGTGGGGGAATTTGCTCAAACATTTCTTTACATAAATATAAAATTATGTATATGAAATACTAATGTAAGATATTCACTTTGCAAAAAGATATTTACTTAGCAAAAAAAAGAATGTAGGCTAAATTTTATGCAGGTGTTGTAAGTTTGGCTTATTGCAACAGTTCAACATAAAACTTTTGTAAATAACAAAAAAAAAATATTTAAAGTTAAAGTCAAGCGAAATCTACATAAAGACTTAATAACATAAGGTTTGCAGTCCAGTTGGATGTGAGCGATAGAGAGCAGAATGATTTAAATGCCAATGGATCAGCTAAATATTTTTTTAAAATACATTTAAAAAAAGAGTTGAAATACTTTAGATGCTGTGTAAAATCCAAAAAGGGTACTGAGATGCTTACTCTCAGGGACGTCATGTTCTTCACTAAAGTCGTATGGACTGCAGGGCTCCCCGCTTTGAGAGCCACGTCGCCCCCTGTAGGCCAAGAGGTAGAATTACTCAAAGGCACATACTGTAAGTACTTTTAGAAAAACATTTAGCTGTTCATAGTTGGAGTTGTTACTCAGCAAAATGGGAGGCTGGCTGACGAGGGGGCGTTTCAGCGTCAGTACCTTTTCCTCTGAGTTTTCTGTGAAGGCTGTGTGACCGTCTCCTCCTCCTCTTCATCCTCTGAACCAGAGTCACGATCCCTCTTAGAGCGCTTCTTCTCTTTCTCAAGGACCTTCATGGAAAAGCACAAAAAATAAATAAATAAAAACAGACAGGAGCATAGATTAGAAGCATGCAACTCTTCATTTAGCCTTGAAATGAAAAGCCTGGAACAAACCTTTTTAAAGTAAGCAAACTGGACCAGCTCCACCGCAACTTCAGAGTCTTCCAGCTCCACGGCTTTGCTCATGCGGGCTTTGGCGTGTGCAGTCGAAAGACGGATCAGAGTCTCCAGGGTACGGGCCGTCACTGGGGAGGTCTGAACACAGAGAGAACGAGGTCAGAGCATATCGCTTTCACCGTTTGTTTTGGACACAAGGGGACAGCTCCAGCTCACCCTGGCAATATCAGATCCCATCTGCTCCTGGCTCCTCAGCCTCGAGTACTCCTCTGCAATGTGATTGGCTGCCTCCTCTGTCAGTACAGGTGTGACAGCCTTGGCAATATGGATGTACTTCCTCATGAACTCCTTACTGACAATTTTATCCCTAAAATCACAGGAATCCAATTTTTTATCTTAAGCATCATCATACAAAGTGTCCGTTTGCACACAACCATAAAGGGGGCAATGATTTTCTCAATGCTCACTTCTTTCTCTTGCTTCCATGCAACAGGTTGTTGTGTTTCTCATAAATTTGCAGCTCCTCCTGCTCATCTGCTATGGAGTCTGGGTCTTCTGTGGTCAGGACGTCCACTGATCCGCCCAAAGCCATGGCTGAGGAACGAACGAGGAAACCCCAGGGTGAGACAAACACCCGGAAACAGAACATTGTGCCCATCCAAAAAATAAAATAAAATAAAATAAAAAAACAGAAACCACACCTTCCACAAAAAGGTGCGACTGTACCTGTTCCCTCCTGCTCGCGTGGGTCGCGGTAGCGATGCATCCTCAACACGTGGTCGGAAATCTCGCGGTCATGTTCGGGGTCCATCTGATCCAGCATGATGAAGAGGAGGTCGAAACGTGACAGCAGGGAGTCCTGGAGGCCGATGTTGTCCATGGGGGTTTTATACTGATCGTACTGCACATAGGATGAAACGGAGTGAATTTTTTTCTCTCTTTGAACAAAACGGAGCAAGCTTTCAGGTGGACACGTCCACTCACCCTGCCATAAACAGGGTTGGCCGCAGCTAACACCGAGCAGCGCGCGTTGAGACGGGCGTGGATGCCGGCCTTGGCAATGGTGACGCGGCCCTGCTCCATCACCTCGTGGATGGCCGTGCGATCCATGTCGGACATCTTGTCGAATTCATCAATGCACACGACGCCACGGTCTGCCAGCACCATGGCACCTGCTTCCAGACGACGCTCGCCTAGCAAAAAAATTGAAACAAGCCTAAAGAAACCATTCAAAACTGGGCTACTTTTCCCAATAAATCCTGACCCCTCATGAAAATTTACTCAAAACATTTTTTAAGACTTTTTATAAATTCTTTAACAAAATACATTCTAAAAGAGCAATTTAATGCTTTAAAGCCTGATCCAAGAATAAAACAAAACAGAAAATTACTTTTTTTTTGTTTGAATTCCTTATTTGGCCTTATTCCTTATTTGGCCTATTTAATATGTAAAAAAAAAAAACAGAAATACATTTTTTATATTAATAATTTATTACTATGCGATAAGTCAAGATTTTTTTTTGTGTAGTCTTCTGCCCCCTGTTATCAGGTGTATCTGATTGTGTACAATAAGATTTTGAGCAAAGTTTTTACCATTAAATTATGCAAAAGGTGTCAGACGCAAAACATTTCAGAAACCGTATTTGGCATTACAGGGTTAACTAACCCTAAATCAAATTCACTCAATTTTTTTCAAGAAATTCAAGTCATACAAAAAATGTTCATAAAGTGAAGTTTTCTTAAAAACAAAAATATTACTGTATGATGACGCAAAACCTCTTAGAAAGTTATCAAAAATTATAGAAAGACTTTTTAAAGAGAATAAAAGGGATAAGGAGCCTTGAAAAAATGCGTACCCGTCTCCTGATCGGTTGTGACAGCAGCGGTCAGACCGACACCGGACGAGCCTCGTCCAGTGGTGGGGATGGCTCTGGGTGCTGTGTGAAGTACGTAACGAAGCAACTGGGATTTAGCCACCGACGGGTCACCTGATAATAAAGAAGAAGAACACAGATAAGCATCTAATGGGGTTATTACCATTGCCTTCCACCTTAATCTCAAGGCTGGACTGAATCATTCTGATTTTAGTCTGCTATCAAAAAGAGGGCAGCGCTTTTACCGATTAACAGGATGTTGATGTCTCCTCTTATGCGGGAGCCATTCTCCAGCACCTTCTCCACCCCTCCCAGCAGCATGCACAGGATGGCTTTCTTGATGTACTCGTGGCCGTGGATGCTGGGAGCCAGCGAGCGAGCAAGCTGGTCAAACACATTCTAAGAGGGAGGAAACAAAAAAAAAGTAGACATTAAATTTAGCTTCTGCGCGTTTCTTGCATGTGAAGAGCTGAAGGAAGGCGAGTAACAAGACTTACAATGGAGCGATTGCGACAGAAGTTTCTGATTTTAGCCACGTCGTCAGCAGATAAATGCGGAGACACCTCCTTACTCATTTGTTTAACGTGGCATGCTATCATGATGGTCCTGTAAGGAAACGGACGAGTTTCAGGAAACACTTTTTTTTTTCTTTTTTTTTATCAAAATGAAAAATGACATTTAGAAAAATAATTAATCACTAGAATAACAGTCAGACCTGAAAGTGCCGGAGGTGAATCCTCCCTTCTTGCCAGGCAGACAGCGGTACGTTCCCACAACCTGTACCCTGTCTCCTGGTTTGATCAGGTCCACCAAGTCGTTGTCCAGGATGATGTCCACAGAGCGAGGGAGCTGACCAGCAGGAGCTTTCTCCGGCATCTCCTGCACCGTGATCGTCTGGTGGTCCTTGTAGATGGACAGACCAAATTCTGTCTCCAAAGGATTGTTTTCTTCATCCTGATGGAATGCAGGGTTACTTTTGAGTGCGATCGCATCTGTTTGAAAGTCTGAGTGTTATCAATGCCAGAAGAAGAAACATTTACTGGGATTTTACTGCACCTTAGTGGGATAAATGGCACTTGAGGGGAAAGCATCCAGGGAGGTCATGTCTGTGTACTTCCTCTCCATTGTCTTCTTAGTGGTCGGACAGTAATGGACACTGCGTACAACTTTGGGGCGTACCAGAGAACCTGCGACAACGGGGCCCAAATGTCAGTGTCCCTCTTTTTTTTTTTTCTTTTAAAGACACATATATACTAAATTACAGGTTTGACAGAAATGAGGTCATTTCACTCACATTTTGTGACAATGCCCTCCACGCACACCATGCTGCCCAGCAGGCGGGAGGTCAGCGTCCTGGGGGAGACGTGTTTGGAGCCGAAGCTGCCCTCCAGGCCGATGAAGAACTCCTCGTACTGCTTGGCGTAAGTGGCGTCCACCGAGGCCACCAGATCCTTGAGAGCCCGCTGGAACGCCAGCAGCTCCTCGAACGCATTGCCCATAAGTCTGACAAACACAAACCATCCAAACATTTTATGCATTGCAGCTTTTTAGATTCCACAATTTTTTCCATTTCCAGGCTATTAACTTGTTAACATATCTGAGGCAGTGGGAGCAAAAATCGAAGTTAGTGTCTTTCCTATAAAAAAAACAACAATAACAAATACACCTGAGGGAGCTAAATGTATACAACCGACGACATATACTCTGTCTTTCCATCAATAGTAGTTTTTTACTACAATGCTTCAGATGTGGCGTTTCACAAAAGCTCCATGTACAGTCCAGCTGGTATTAACTTATAATGCACTCGCATTAGCTTGTGCAGCTATTTGTAGCAACAGGCCCCCACAGTGCACACACAAAGAGCGGCGCTTCCTACTTTGAAGCCCGGGCCTCGTTGCGCCTTCTCAGGTCGTTGATGTTGACGATGAGTCGGGCTTTGTTCTCGCTGATCATGTCCCGGACTTTGCTCTGATAAATCCCCTGATCCTGCTGCAGTTTGGGGAAAGAAAGCAGTAATATCCCTCGTCAGCAGATCAAAGTTGAGATAGTTATTCGCTTACGGCCACATGGCTTCTTTATCATTTTATTTTTTTACGACAGTTGACTAAATAAAAAAAAACTACTTACGTCGTCGTCCAGAAAGTCCAGATATTCCCTCTGGGCCTCTCTCATCTCCTGGTCATCTACCACGTCGGTTGCCATTGTTCGCGTTTATTCGTTTTATTTGAAAATAACTCACTGGGTACACGGTTCGGGAGTACGTGCTTCCAACACGTCAAACCGCACAACTGAGCAGGTTTCGCGCCACTGCGTCGCCGGCGCAACTAAAGCGTAACGTGTGATTGGCCAACACTATATGCGTGCTCCAGGCGTTGGACCAGATAAACCAATTGGATACTCACGTTGCCACATGACCACGCCTCTTTAAAAACTCCCGCGAAATCTTAGCAGGACGGGGCGGGCTGTTGAAGATGGAAGAGAACCTGGCAAAGGATTTTATTAATCGTAATTCCGTTTTTGCCCAGGAGATGGCGACATAGCTTTTCTTGAACGATAACAACATACATTGTGATAACCATCTCACATATACATAGACGCCGCATTGAGGGCAACAGCAGACTTTACTCACAGAAATAATTTTCATTCATATATAGCCTCAGTGATGAATCCACTATCTTTAAATTATAGCCTATTGATGAAAAGGAAAATAAGTCCAAGACAGCATACGTTGCAGCATTGCTGTATAGGGCAACAGATGGAGGCAAAACCTAAGAAAGTCACCCAGTTTCAATTGGTTTAGTACGATTTGATCATTTCCTCAAATTGAAATCTTAACGATGGATGGTAACTTTATTAACTTTAAGCGTCGCTATTATTTGGTGTTGCTATTTGAGCCACACCCAAAGAATAACCTGTTGGGATATTTAAAATGTAACAGCACTTGAGGGCGTTTTTTGGTCCATCAGATTCCGCCCACAGTCACACTCACTCCACTCAGCTCTGTGCTTGCGTGTGTTTTTCTTTTTTTTTATTTTCTATCGGTTTCCATTAACCTCTGTGTTTCAACTTTAAAATCTTAGTCCTTGGTGCTTCATATATAAGGACAACCTGTAGGACAGATAGGATTTTTGTACAAAAACATTTTGCAGACCGGCGCTAGTCTGTAAGAGTAACAGGTGTTCCGTCGGTACGAACAGGTGAGAGGATGTTTCTTTTGCTTCAAATCCTTTTTTAACCTTATGACATCAAGCCTAAGAATAGGTACAAAAAATATGTTTATGCATAAATAAATCCTGCGTCTGTTACAGCTCATAATTTTCTATTAAAACATTTAAATAAAAATAATTCAAATGTTACATTTACGTTATAACAATGTAGTAATTTTATGAGCATCCAAATTCACAGGCAAAACATTTTCTACGGGCAATCTGCCTTTAGCAGACAGACTGAAGGCAGAAGTTTTTAGATGACTGAGATCGATCTAATTGTCAGTGTTTTTATGATGTATTTGGATTTTTTTTTCACACCAAACAACAGAAGAAGGGAATGGAAAGACACACCCTTAACTTAAGGAGGGGACACCAAGGGTGTTTAGTATGACAACAGTGGTTTACATACCTTTTCTATCAGTCAGTGTTGGAAATAGTTTCAGGTTTGACCACATAGTTGCTTTCCTATCGTTCATGACTTTTGTAGAGGACTGTTCTCCTTCTGAAAAACAAGTCAACAAGTTTGAAAAACAGTTCAATATGGGCCAACATCCAATGAATTGCAAATGGTACGAAACTGAACCATAGAGAACAATTAGAGAAATACAGCTGCAGCAACCTGAGGCTTGCAGACCATTGAATGAGACCTTATCGCTTACTATTCAAGTTGAATGCTTTTAATTAATCCTCTCCCCTACCTTAATTTCTCTGTCTCAGAGTGTAAACTGAAATAGGTTATTATGCAACAAAGGTCAGTCTGATTAACTGATATAGGTAAAGGAATTCCTCTGGCAATTAAACTAATTTTAATTAGTAAATAATCTATCCAATCTGTCATTTAATTAATTTAAGCCAATTTTTTTAATACAAATCCCTGTATCAATTTATTGTCTCCTACAGAGATTTCGTCCCGACAGAAGTCATGTCAGCTGACTTTCTGCAGAGGATCAACACTTTAACACTGAGTGTCAAGCATCTCGGCCACCTCCCCCAACTCTCAGACCTTGTCCCCTCTTGCCAGCCTACGGTCACCTCCTTAGAGGTCCCCCTACTGTTCCGAGAACCCTACATACTGACCGGCTACCGCCCGGTCCAGCAAAACTGGCGCTGCTATCTTCTAAGCCTCTTTCAGCGGCACAATGAGTCCCTCAATGTATGGACACACTTGCTGGCAGGTCCCGTGTTACTGTTCCGCTGGTGGGCTAACGCAGAGGCCCTGGGTTTTACCTTGGACGCAGCATCTCTACCTCTCTGCCTCTTCATGGTATCGTCTCTTACATATCTGTTCCTAAGTGTGGCAGCTCACCTCTTACAGTCTCACTCCGAACACTCACACTACTTCTTCTTCTTCATGGACTATGTGGGTGTCGCTGTCTATCAATATGGATGTTCACTTGGTCATTACTTCTATTCATCGGAGCCAGCATGGAGAAAGAACGTTGGGCTTTTCTTTCTACCTGGTGCTGCCTTATTCGGGTGGCTGTCCTGTGCTGGTTGTTGTTTTGCCAAGTCCAGGTACAAGCGACCATATCCACTGCAACGTAAAATCTGCCAGCTGATCCCCACCTGCTTTGCCTATCTGCTGGACATAAGTCCCATAGTTCACCGCCTTTCCACTGTTTCTTGGAAACAAGAGGGCTCTCTGCCCTTTCATGCACTCCAGATAGTCTTTTTTCTGTTTGCTGCATTATTCTTTTCTTTCCCCATCCCTGAGCGTTTCTTTCCAGGCCACTGTGACTTTGTGGGCCAGGGTCACCAGATCTTCCACTTGTTTCTATCCATGTGCACCATTTTCCAGCTGGAGGCTCTGTTCAGGGACTACGCCAGAAGGCAGCATACAGTGCTAGAGATATTTGGAGAGCGGCAGCTATGGTGGGCTTTTCTGGCCTTCCTTGCGCTCTTCATTTCTTGCATCCTGACAGCCCTTATTATAATGAAGCATATTAACAAGGAACTGCAAAGTAAGCAAGAGAAAAACAAGTGAGAAACGATTCACTTTGTATGAGAAAATGGCCTTAATTCGTAATGGTACACGTATATGTATTTATATATGTGTCTAACAATCTGTGCGGAATGGAATTCTTAATCATTGTTGTATCAAGAAAGAAAAAAGTTTTCCAGTGAATCTTAAAGTTTTGTGAGGGGAATTTCCCTGTTACAGGTGACAGAAGCTGTTCTGGAGAGGCTGTTTGAAGATATTACAATAAATCTAAGATGACTTTCTTTTTAGTTTGTTTTTTCAACGAACAGATATACACTACACATCTTGATACATAAAAAGAATAACGACATCTCTGTTTCGAACACAAATACACTGTTCACAAAAACTCTCTTTGAAAAATTCCTCCATTTGGAGCAGCCTAGTGCAAAAATGATTTTCCCATGAGAATTTAATACAGTAACCTCATAGATCTGCAACTGGTGTAGTAATTTTGGCCAAGACAAAAAATGTCTGCGTTTTTCTAAAATACAAGATGTGTTAGCCATCAAATATTATTTTAGCTTGCTATTAGGCTAGGTCAGCTGCTGTTTGCATGGAAAATACATTTGATCATTTTCAGTTTCATGGCAATGTCTGACTAGTGGCATAAATAACATGTGTTTAGACACTAATATGGACCTCATACACAGCCCTCTAAAGGTACATGAGTGAAAAATGGTCCTGATGAAAACACCACAGTTAGCTTTGTCTATTATATCAAATGGGTGTTTTTAATTAGTTTGAAAACTGCTCTGCAAATTTTATTTCACTGTGGCTTCTGCATTTTTCAATAAATATTCAGTACATTTTAGTAGAGATGGTGGTAGACAGATATTTTTTAACCTTTGGACAGAGCAAGCTATTCGTGGTTGATTTAGGTGTTATTGCCATATCAAACTAGCTAACTGCTTAGTGTAGTACAGTCAGACAGACAAGTATTATTCTTATTTAAATGTCTTTAAGTAAAAAAAACTTTTCTTCTGAAACTGAAACTTATTTACCGTACTACGTCTTACTTACATTCAACCTCATTTTATACGTAGCAGCTATGTTTCTAATCACGGCAATGCAGATGACACTCAGATCTACTTAACTCTTTCACCAAATTCTTTTTTTGTACATAGAACAACTGAGTAGCTGGATGAAATCAAGCTCCTTCAATTAAATCAAGGTAAGACAGAAATACTTATATTTGATAACAAAATAGAAAAATGAGAGTTGTCATTCAGCTTTAATCCAGAGGAATATAAATTTAAAGATAACTTACAAAAAGTATCTATAACATGGCAGAGATAAACATGGATAGATTTTTGGACTTTGTAAGTTGCGTTGGATAAAAGTGTCTGCTAAATGCATAAACAATAAACATAAACAGATAGAATATTCTGTAGAAGTATAGTAATTGGTCTCCATGCATTAAGCTTTCTTCACTTATCAGACTCAATATAACATTGGACATACCAGCTTCTATAATAACACACATTCACTTCCGAGGACAATTTAAAATGTCCAGTCAATCTAACATGCTTGTTATTGGACGGTGGGAGCAAGCCGGAGTACCCAGAGTGAACCCAGGCAGACAGATGGAGAACATGCAAGATAACGTTTTTGCGGTGAAGCGACAGTGCTAACCACCACCGAATTGGGGAATTTTAAATGAATTTAATTTGAAGTTAATTTAAAGTGCCATTGTATAAGAGGCCTGGCTGAATTATCAGGCTTCGTCATAAATGGATTGTGGTTTTGTTTTTTGTTTTTTACCTTGGCAGAAACCTAGTTTATGGTGTCACACATAGTGTCAGCTCATAATACAGGTGCATTCTCTTGGTAGACAATGTAGACAGAAACTCAAAGCAAACAAATTTGAGGGGCAGATCAGCATCAAGTTTAGGCTTAAACCATATCTTGTGAGCAAGATCGTGTGCCTTCCTTTAGTAATATATATTTTATATCTCTATTTATATCTCTATCTATGTTAAGTTGTGTTGACAGTCATGTCTCCACAAAAAACATCTTGTCAGGCTCCTGGATTTGTGTTGGTGTGAGTCCTCCTCTCTGTTTTAGGATCCTCGTGGAGAGTTGGGCATGTTGCCACACCTATGGCTGATTTCTATTCAGCTGGCTGAGGAAATAAGGAGCAAAGGAGCAGTTATTCTTTGCTTGATGGTCCTACATATTTGGTGAATTCAAGCGACACGGTCTGCCACAACCAAGGCTCTTTTTTTATTGTTGATTTCAGTAGTGAGAGTTAAAAAAAATAATCACAGGTACTATTCAAGCTGACTTAGTTTGTGTTAGAAGAAAACCTGTTAGATGACTCTACCTCTGACTTCAATTTTCTTTGATTTTAACTGATACATTCTGATTTAAACAACGCCGTCTAGCAACCGTTAATATTACTGCAGAGAACTGGCAGTCCAAAAAAAGTATCTGGCGTGTTTTATTTTCTTGTATTCGAGTTATGAATATGATGCAATGATTATTATGTCTATTTCAAAATCACATTCTCTTCATCTGAATGTTTAAACTGCTGCTTATAGCGAAACTATTGATATATAATTAGAACTTGTTGATAGTGTATTTGAATGTGTACAAGTATTTTAGCTCCTTTATGCTATAACATGTGGGGAACCTTTTGTAGATAGTGAGGGAAGCATTTCAAATTTCACTGCTATTTTTCCTAAATTATCCTTAATCCATCTGAATTAAGAAAACGTTGCAGAGATTTTGAAATAAACATAATATTCATGACATCATAATCATAGCTTGAGTAAAGGATAATTAAATGTGCAGTATTTTTTTCTGAATTAAAAGACTGGAATGATAAAAAGGCGTTGACCTGCAATGGGCTGCTAGTTCTCTGCAGTAATGTCAGCTGTTGCTAGAGGGCATTGTTTAAATCAGAATGTATCAGTGTTGAACACAGCTCAAATCAAGCAAATAGAAGTGAGAGGTAGAGTCATCTAACAGGTTTTCTTCTAACACAAACTAAGTCAGCTTGAATAGTACCTGTGATTTTTTTTTCTCAGATATTGTACTGATAAACCACACACCAGAAGGGCAACTGTGCCTGCTCCTTTGGACAAAATGCACATTCCTGCATTCCTTGAGGCGACAGGCATGTCAGATGCCAAGACACTCAGGTGAGGAAGTTATTTAGATGTGATAAACAAGAGAATGAGTTATCTGTGGGTTGGTGCCAGCACCTCCTTCATCATAGGAGGGATAGCAATGAACAGAGTCCCTCCCTAGATTGTCTGAAAGCTGGGAGGCACATAAAGCAAAGCCAGTTGAATGAGTGACAACAGTTGGTGGCAAAGCAACGTCAGAGAAACGTCCAAGCTAAGCAGCTCACAATGTAAGTTAAGATCCTTTCTTCATGTTTTTTCTTGGTTTGTTATAGATTATCCTAGCTATCTTTCTGTGGTAGTTGGACTGTTGGCCTCTTATGTGTGAGAAGCTGTGTGGTTATGATTCAGTTATTCATTGTAAGAAAATGCAGTAGCGTGTATAATTGGTATCCTTCCTGTAACGAAGGAGGTCTTTCACCTAATCTGTTCTAGTACATGATATTTGACATAGTGTTTGTGTTTTGTTACGTGTGTGTGCTAAACAGAGTACCAGGACAATGGCTCCAGTAGGTGCGGTTGGCATTTTGAGTTGGTTTTCTTCCCCAGAGGTGGCCATCATCTCCCTAGTTGCCTTTCTAGTCCTATCCATCACTCTCCTCACCCTTTGTGTCAGGTGTCGCAGGTGAGTTAAAATAAATTAATTAATTACATGTACTCATTAACTATAGTCTTCAGTGCCTGTCACTCCAGAGGCATTTAAAGAATTAGGGAAGTTTTAACAAATGTATCATTAATAGTGACAGAAAGTAGCAAAGAAGTCTTATCTCATGTGGATTAGGTAACTGTTCTTCAGATGATTATTTTTTTCTGCTCACAGGCTTTGATTACAACAATCTCTCTCCAAACTCACAGCACAGATACTCGTCAAACCTGATGAGTAGTTTTTGGTCCAGGGCGTTGCCTGTTTGAATAGGTGGAAGAAGTGAAATGCAGTTGCATTTTATTTTAAGGTAGAGGGTGTGGGTTGGCTGGGTTTGAATCTCTCAGCCTGAAGCCCACTCATCTAAATGAGATTTTTAAATATATGTGTATGAGTGTATGCATGTGGGTTTTCAGGGTGTTTTCAGTGACAGTGTGGTGTGCACACGCCAGTTTATGCACCTGTTACTTCAAACTAGAAACAGTGTCACAGTAGAATTTAGGGACTTTTCTCCAGCAGTCTTCCAGGGCTTGATTTTCAATTCCGAAAATTAAACTGCAATGAAACAGTTGTGTCATATTCATGTCTTGGACTGCAAAGAAGGATGCACAATGGTACCATCATATGTTGATTAATTTAAAGACATAGGGTACACGTTTTCATGCAGTTGAGTCTACAAGGTTGCAATAGTGTGTTGTCTTTAAAATACAATTAATAGTTAAGCGCCATAAAATAGGTGCTATTTTCAGCCCCATGGAGACATTTAGAAAGTTACAATTGCGCTTGCAATGAAAGGAAATTCAGTACTAAAGCTATATAATGCAGTACAAATCTGAGTATTTAGTCATATTCAAACACCAGTGTTGACTATAAGGGCCCCTGCACAAATTTGAGCATGAACACACAGTTTCAACAAAAACTAAAAAGATTTGAGAGTGAAAAGAAAGTATTGCTGCATTTGTTTGGAATTAATTTATGTTTTACTTTTAATGTATAGTGATCTACTTTGGTCCAACTTTAACAAATAGGTGGTCATACAGTTATTGTAACATTACTCTTTTGAACAACTGAATAATTATTCCTTTTAGCATCTTTTACAATTTAAGGCAATACAAATTTTTCATGGTAAAGGAAATCACTTATATAGTTGATCGAGGGTTCTTTTTTTTCTATAACACTTTTTTATTTCTTAAAATATGCTCAATTAGATATATTTTGTTTTTTCTAATGTCATAAGAAAGATGTGTGATATGTTGACGTAATTTTTAGAGGGGTAAATCCTCAAGAGTTTTAAACAAGGTCAGCTGTGTTTTTTGCCTCTCAACACAAAAATAAAAAAAAAGATTTTCAAACGATGCCTTTAAAGAATGTTTTTAAAGAAGAAAAGGTTCAAATGAGAAGATGAATCCATTTGTTAAGCAGAAAATGACTTGAAATGCTCAAACTCAGAATGACTCAGAATACAGGGAGGTGGTGTGAAGGCTGCCTGCTGACACTGTTAATCA